TGGATGATTTAATGGGTCAATCAGGACGACAGAAGGCATTCTGAGTTTCCTTGCATCCCTCAAGACCACTGATCCGTCAATCTATGCGGTGTTAACATGAACCCAGGCCACTCCTCCAGTTAAACCTTGCTGTAGAGGCCAGTGTGGTGCTCAGGGTGATGGTGTCTCGCTGATTGCCCTTGAATATCCAGGCAGCTCAAGTGTCATTGAATCAGCTTTACGGAAAAGAGAATGAGGGATAGACGAATGCATCGCTTCATCAGTGAGCTGTGGGGTCAACAGGAGGAAGTGAAGAAACTGAAGTGGTCATTAATTAGACTAGAAGAATTTGTTATTTATCTTTGATAGTGCGTTATAATTGTGAATAACTAAAAACAGATTACAGATCACGCAGAGCTAAATACTTCAGCATCATGCAGTGATTGTTCATTTGAATGTTAATATAGCAAACAAGCGGCAATTATCATGAGTGTTTATTAATTGAGAAGAGAAAGACTGATGCAGCGGGTCGAGAAGGGTATATATATGTATATATATATATATATATATATATATATAATAAAGACTAACATTGATATTATTATAGGATGAAGAGGTGCAAATGAAACTCAGTGGAACAGTCAGCCACATGGTGCAAAAGATGCTTTCAGGCAGTAGTGTGTTTGTATGTTTGCAATAAAAAAAAACAGGCAGGCTCATACATTGAGTAAAATCATGAAAAAGGTTAAAAAAGAAAATGAGCGCCATTCCCACAGAAAAAGCTATAGGTGTTGCTCTGTTTGATGGGAAAAGAGAAGAGAAAAATGAAAGGGAGGAGAAGATACTTAGAGAGAGAAAGAGAGGGAAGGGGGTGAAATTGCAGCCGATGGTGCTCAGTCAAGGGCAGAGAGCATATCAACGGGCTCTTCACCAACTGCTCCTGAAATATGCCAGAAAGACAGAGATTGAGAACTGAAAAGCTTGAAAGAAGTCAAAGAAAGATAGAAATCAATAGACTGTCTCCCTGGGTGCCAATATAACCCTCCCACTCCCCAAGGCCTGTAAAAATTTAAAGGAAAAAAAATTTAATATTACAAATAGATAGAAAATAATAAAAGCTAAACTAAAAAAACCTAGAGGAATAGCACAATATTGAAGATATCCACACATTAATTGTTTAAATTATTGAATGCAAAGAGATCTCATTCTCATTTCATTTCTGAAATTAAAAAGAGGCTTTATACTTGTTTATACATACACAACATCAGTTTTTTCAAGCGTTTTCATTTCATCAGTGGATATTCTGTACACCAAAAACAGGCTTGGAATTTATTAAATGTAATGTGTTTATGCTGTATCTGTTTGATTTTCAAATTAAAAATACCAATTTAGCCTTATAATGAACCATTATACAGTCCCTGTTGTCACTTATTTTTTTCTTGTACATTTTATACTAAGCTTTCTTCTCTCTCTCTCTCTCTCTCTCTCTCTCTCTCTCTCTCTCTCTCTCTCTCTCTCTCTCTCTCTCTTAAAAACTCTTTTTAGAGCCGATACACAAATCTTCATTTTTGCATCAGAACAACATCGATAGTTTCATTCAAGAGAACGCTAAATTTTGCCACCTCACACTGAAAGAGCTGATCGTGAGTGGTTGAATGCTGATATCAGAGATCCAGCCTGACCTCATGCATAAATTCACAGATGGTTTATTTGACTTTTTTTATTAGTAAATAGGGATCATTTGGAGACGGCAGATGTGCTGCTCAGAGGCATGCCAATGGCCATTGTGACTTTGCCACAAAAGAAATAGAAAAATCCAGAGTTTCAAATGGAATGCAAAAAAGGACAAAGGAATCCCAGAATGCCATGCGTCGACCTGTTCTTTGGAATTTGGTGCGATTTTGCCTGAATTCTATCCCCCCCTTATATTAGATGCATTTTGCTGTAGACACAAGGTGAGCGTGATTTGACGAAGTACAACATGTTCAGGAACATCATTCCAAACAACCAATCAGAATTGAGAGATAACTTTTCAGGAAATGTCAGTTTTAGGCTTACAATCAGGATTAGGTGCTTCTACACCCTTGTTAATCAGCTATCATTTCCCTCTGATTTATGAATTAATTATGGGTAAGGTTAGGTTTAGGGGTGGGGATTGGGTTAAGTCTGTATTTTTGGACAGTAATGTTGATCCAGGAACATGTCTTACTTTGCAAAATCACGGCGTCTGTAGGCACAAGCACGCGTGAGCTGTTAACCCTGGAACGGCATATGAAAGGAAACTTCTATCAGCCGCACCAGTTCTGGTAAACAATAGCAGGTGCATTTGAAAAAGGTTGTTGTTGTTGTTAAATTTGTCACTTTTTTTTCTCAGATAAAAACCTGTCCACATATTCACTCATCCAGGAAATCATCTAATGAGTGAGCTTGGTGTTCCTATCACACCTGAAGACTTTCTGAAAGCTTCATCTCACAAAGGTGTTAGAGTGACTTATGCTAATCCAAGCAAGTAAAGCAAGTTTCATGGTTCAGAGAGGTTTCTCATGCTCTCTAATACTTTGTTTGTATGTGTGTGTCTGTGTTTGCGAGTGTATGTGTGTATTCCCCTCATTATTAGCTCTTTATGAAACAGAATCGATTAGTTATTGATTTCTGCCTGTTAAATGCACTTTAGCAGTCTGGCTAGCATGTGACTAGCATCTGATTCAAAGAAAAACAGGTGGATGAGCAAAAAGCCATGTCAAATTGTCCTGTAACCTGCTTACTGCGAATCTAAACCTGTGACAGAGGATCTGTTTCAGAATATCCAATGTGCAGGAAAAAGTTGCTGCATGCTAATTTTTGAATTTAGATTTTTGTTATTTTTGCAGTGTAAAATTTCAAATAAATCATAGAAAATCACAAAAAAACAAAGGGTTCTCATCTTTTAGAGTCCATAATTGCCAGAATATTGCAGGATCAGGAATTTTATGCCTGATTTAGTAACTCCTGTAACAGACCTCCCATATTAGTTGAGTTATTATCTGAATGACCTTCTCCAGCGACGTGAAGAGCAGGGCGAAATAGACAAATATGAATAGATTTCAAATCATTAGTCTGGGTTATTTTACAAAAGCAGATTGTAGACAGGTAATGGTCATCATGTACCGCAAGATGCAGATTAATCACTGCATCATTGCAATAAGACAATTTGACTGTGGTGAAACATGTAGCCTAATATACAGTGGTGTGAAAAAGTGTTGGCCCCCTTCCTGATTTCTTTTTTTTTTTTGCATGTTTGTCACACTTTAATGTTTCAGATCATCAAACAAATTTAAATATTAGTAAAAGATAACACAAGTGAACACAACATGCAGTTTTTAAATGAAGGTTTTTATTATTAAGGGAAAACAAAATCCAAAACTACATGGCCCTGTGTGAAAAAGTGTTTGCCCCCTAAACCTAATAACTGGTTGGGCCACCCTTAGCAGCAACAACTGCAATCAAGCGTTTGCGATAACTTGCAATGAGTCTGTTACATAGGCAGGGCTTCAACCCCGGGGCTCTTAATGCGGCCCTGCACACACACACACAGACACACACACACACACACCAACCACTCAGATTTAGCTTAGGAGAATATTTAACCTTCCTGTCAGGAAGTAAAAGGGTTTTTAAACTTTTCTTAGTGGGAGGAAATTTTAGTTCCCTCTGGCAGATTTGTCTGCCCACGATTCCCATCATGCAAAAATAATTCTGCATTTCATTTTCCAATTCAAATATGAAATGAGACAACCAGTTCTAAGAACACATTCATGTAAGTCAGTGTCTGAAACACTCTGAGGCAGAAACATATTTTGTACCCATTTTATGTTTTTTTTAAAGCTTTCCAAATGAACCCAAATTCTAATCCAGTGCTGATCATTATCAGATTAAACATTTGAATCGCTGGAAGGTATTTGAGCATTGTCCTTGTTTCCTGTAGTCATTCTATTTCATGTCAATTTATCCCAATTCACAGTTACTTGATTTGCTTCTGCTGAGGAGGTTAATTATCCATTGTTGGAATGCAGAATCTCATGTGAGTGCACTCTCATCCACTTCATTAATAGATGATGAAGAGGTGTCTGAAGGGAAAAGAGAGCATTTGAGAGAGAGCAATAGAGAGAGAATGAGAGTTGGAGAGATTGAGATTAGGTTTCTCATCTGGTGAGCCACAATCAGCTTTGTTCTTCTTTCAGTGTTCTCTTCATTAAAACTCTGAGGTTTTGGCTTGTTATTGCAGTTCTTCAACGTATACTTTGAGCCCATAGTATTTTTAACACCTTGGGGTTGGTGAGGTTTTTAATGGCTTTGAAAGAAGTCTCTTATGCTCACCAAGGATGCATTTATTTAATCAAAAATACAGTAAAAACGGTAATATTGTGACATTTCATTACAATTTAAAATAACTTCTATTTTATTATATTTTAAAATGTAATTAATTCCTGTGATGGCAGAGCTGAATTTTCAGAAATCATTCTGATATGCTGATTGGGGTAAATAGTTTTGATGAATAGAAAATTCAAAAGAGCAGCAGTTAATCATTTACATTTTTTACAACTTTTAAACTGTAGAGTGAATATTTCTATGTAAGTGTGTGTGGGTCACAGTGTAATAAGAGAGAAAGTCAGTCTATACAGACCTCTTATTTTAGACTATTTCAGAGCCCCTAATTGCTGATGTTGTTTCTTAGCCTGCTGCAGTCCATGATATTTATAACAAAAAATTGTACCCACCATCATGTTTCCCAAAGGAGATGTTCTATTCTTTTATAATGGGAAGTGAAATGTCATGTTAAGATTCAGGGTTGACTGTAAATTTGAAGTCTTGTGGCTTTTAAGCACTTTCCTTGAACCTGTATATGATTGCGTTTACAATGTTCTCGTGTTTGTGTATGTGTGAGGTGGATGCACAGGAAGTGATTATCTGGTGATTTATTTATTGCAGGGCCGTTTTGCTTTTTGCTGTTGTTTGCTTTATCTCCAGTCTCCAGAGAAGAGGTGAACTACCGCGGTCTCTGCTGCATCTGAGGAGCATTGCAATTTTGCTCTCTATTTAGATGCGGGGAAACATGTCTATATATCAGAAAACTGCTATCCCCTGCAGTGAATAAACTGTCTTAGCATTGTAGAAGGAAACCGGGACAGGTTGTGTCATATTTTTCTGCGTGACTCACATTTTCTGTCTATAGGGGTCAATCTTTGCAGTTCTGAGAGGAGCGGCTAGTGTCACCTTGATTTACTGATTCATACTTTGGTTCTTCTTCTCACCTTACTTTTAATAAATTGCAAGAGGGAACCAACCAATATTTTCATCTAATGAAAATAAAGTTGATAATCATAACTTATAAAGATGTATATTTAAATAATCACCGTATTGATCTGGTAGGCATGATAAATGACAGCCTTTGGAGGAGTGGAAAGAGTTCTCAACTTAGTTACTGTTAGTGGTGAGATTCATCACGTAGCTTGTTTTCAGCTGATTTCTCCTAATTAAAGCATACATGGTTAATTGTGGGCCACAGAGGACTGTGGGTACTTGTTATTCCCAAGCATGTAATGTGCCATCATTCTACACCTGCTATAATTCAGCCTAACCGATGGGGGAAAAACTGCAATTTCCGTGGCTTATTAGACATCGTTCGGTTTGAGCGCAAAGTGACTGGCTGTATGAAGTGACAATTACCCACTTGTCCATCACGATAATAATGACATTACATCACATTACCTTTGACATGTGTCTTGAGTTATTAATACCAGCTAATTTAATGACGAGTAACCTCAGATTTGGTGAATTATTGCTCTCTGTAGGCAAGTGCAGCAGGTTCGCGGAGACCCGGATTGTAGCGTATCATTTTAACTTCTGAACTCGATTACCCTCTATTACCATGGTTGCCCGAAATGGATGGATCTTTCCGTAACTGATCATTTGTACTTCCTCCAATAATATGATAGAGATATTCGCACTGTGTCAAGTCAGCAGTGCTGTCATTCATTCTTTAGACAATGTACTGTAAATATTTATCACAACCTTCAATTCTGTGGCTTTGATTCCTGTTGTTTTATCTGAGTAACTCTGTGATATTCTGTCAGAGTTTTTTCATTGTACCTTTTATCTATGAGTTAACATTTTTTTGGTATTCATTGCTCTATTGTGTCTCTTGTGTCTCTCTCGTTGTGTTTTGTAGATCCGGTTTCCATGAATAAGATCCTGAGCTAGAAACTTGCAACAGGAAATGCTATGGATATCCTCCGCGCTGTAGATTTCTCCTTCAAATAGCATTTTGAGTGGATCACTTCATTTTTGAACTTCCGAACTCTTCAGCGGCCATGAGTGGAAGGAGCTCAGATTGATACAGGGTGCCAGGAAAAGACATCAGATGATGGGGACACCTGGCGGGCCAGTTCTGGGTGGGTTTGGCTCTACAACATCCTCCCTAGACCTTGATGGCTGGATGGTTTGGCCTGGTAATACCACCGTGAGCCTGAACCAGAGCTTCTTCTTGACTGACTACAGCTTCAATCTCTCCTCCTCTTCTTCATCCTCTCCTCGTGGGGTCGAAAAGGAGTCGATGAAGGAGAAGAACTGGCCAGCCCTGCTGATTCTTGTGATTATCTCTCTGACGATAGAAGGAAATATTTTGGTTATTTTGGCCGTGTCGCTGGAGAAGAAGCTGCAAAACGCAACAAACTTCTTCCTGCGCTCGCTCGCAGTGGCGGACATGCTGGTCGGCATCTTGGTCATGCCCATCTCGCTCATTAACATCCTGTATGGTGAGTTTACCTTTTGATGCCATGGACCCCAAATATGACAATATCCTTCCTGAAATATAAAAATACATATTTCTGTAAAGAACCATTTATAGTGTGGAAAATTATTATTATTATGAATAAATCTAAAACATTTTGAAATCTTTAAAAATGTTTTCTTTTACTATATTTAATATCATTAATATCTAATATTTGTTTATTTATTTGTATTATTTTACTTTTTTTTTTTTTTTTTTTTCAGAATTGCATATTTTTTTCCCTGACTTTTAAGGTGTAAAAATGCAAATTATTTCAAATTTTAAAATAATGCCTGTGTGGTAAGTTTCTCAGACTATTGTATCTGATGCCATGGACCTAAAAATATTAAGATTTCCTTCCTGAAATATAAAGATAGCTATATATTTCCATATATAAATACCCATGTATATTGCAAAAATAGTGAATATTATGAATGTATGTGAAACATTTTAAAATATTACAAAATGCATTCATAAATTTATTTATTTCAATGATTCTACTCTATAAAATAATGTAAAATTTACTCTGAAATTTCCCACGGTCACCCTAGCGCCAAATTTGAAAACTCCTGATTGAACATAAAGCATATATTTGCATTGGACAGTTGCTGTGTCCCAATTCGAAGGCTGGATCCTTCCCGAAGTCCGGGAAGGTTGGACTGAGCATTGTGAAATGGGACGGTCTAGCCTGTGAAGGATTGATCTTGTCGCCTAGCAAGTGTGAAAGCTGCCATTGTCGAACGGCAGTGACATTTGTATTGGACTTTTTTGAAAGTGATATTAAACTATCTGAAAACTAAACAGGGTTCGCAACCTGTCTTAATATGCTCACATTGGTCCATTTATGTACATAATAACAAGTATAAACTACCTATAAAATCGCATTTAAGATATGCCAACATTTAAACTTCTTTAAAGGGTTTCTTTCACATTTGCACATTTATATCGTTAGATATTTGAGTTGAGCTTAAAACCCAATACTTACATTTAACAGTGTAATCTGGCATTTTCTCTCAAAAATTCCTGTCATCATCAGTGAACAATGAATCTTCGGATAGCCTGGGCCACAAAGGATCCATCAGTAGTATCCTTCATTGCCCGGGAAATGAAGAACTCATTTTGAGGCCGCGTTTGAAGGAGCCTTCGAATTGGTACAGCCTTTGTCACAATCATGGAGACGCAGTCGGTCTTCGAATACAGCTTTTGAAAGATGCTGCCTCTGAATTGGGACGCAGCTAATGTCATCAAGATTTGCACTTTGGAGTGGTGTATTGTGGGTAAAGATTACTAAAGTATTCCAGGTTGGTCTATAGGCCAGGGTGCACTGGCTTTTAGGGTATATAAAAATGCAGATGGGATGCAAACTTTAAAATAATGCATCCTATTAAAAAGCCCCCATCACCTTCAAAATATATCATCACGAGAAGCCACACTTCCCATAACATAACTTCAGTGGCATTTCCCTTTAAGACCCAGGGGCTTTTTCAATGGTGCGAGTCGTTCTCCTCCAAATAACACGGCTCATTATTCAAATGACACCATAGAATATACCCTGGTTAAATAACACATTTAATTGGTCTCTTTCCACCAAAACTCGAGAGATGATAACTTCTATTTCGAAAAAAGAAAAAAAAAGTTAGGGTTTAGGTTGACTTAGTTGGGAGATTGTACATGAGTTTAATTACGTATAGTACAGAGCACTGACAAAGTTAGAAAGGAAAGAGCCAGAGGTGGCAAGATTTAATAGCTTTATAATACTGTATAGCATGAAATCTCCCTTCGCGGAGCGAGAGAAAGAGAGAGACAGGCGGTGGGGGCACATTGAGAGAGACAGAAGCTTGTTTGGCATTGCTTTGCTCAGAAGCCCACAGAAATATTGCCTGTGGCAGAATTCAGATCGTTTTCCAGTCCAACTGCCTCTGAGCAACTGAGCTGTCTGCTTTGGAGTATTTCTGGCTCTTGCTATCCATACAGGGGGCCACACTGTCCATCTCTCCTCAGCCATGGGGGAGCTCTTTTGGGATGCGTCGTCTCGCCAATCTCTGGACATGAGTGGGTTAGCTGAACTCTCTCAGACTCCCTTCATATTGATTACGGAAAATGTCCTACCTTTAAATGATCTTCTTTGCTTGTCAGCTGTAGATAGTGCACATGATGAGCTTGCATTTGTCAGTTTGAGAGGAAAGGACATTATTGATCACAAAGAGATATTGATCAGTACAGCAGCCTGCAGACCCTCAGAGCAAACAGAGCATCGGAAAAGAGGCAATTTAGTGGCGAGAGAGAACAAACTGTGATGAATGCATGCACATAGATTGATTAGATTAAATTTGTATATTTTCTGTTTCCATGTAATTTTACTTAAAGTTTAGAAATTTTGTTGTGTGTTTTTGTAACTTTTATTAGATCTTTATAGTTTTTACAAGTTTTATAGTTTGTCTTTATAGTTTTTTTACGTTTTAGTTTTTGGGTTTGTTATTTTAGTATTTCTCCCTAAACTTCTGGAAGCCCGTTTACACTATGGAATTAAAACAAAAAAAAAGAGTAATTGGGACTTTTCTCTTCACAATTCTTCACAATAATTAAGAGAAAAAAGTCAGAAATACAAGATGTTAACTCTGAGGTGTAAATTTCTATCTTGCAATTTAGACTTTTTTTTTCATATTTACAAGAAACAAAGTCCAAATTCTGAAATAAATTGCAATTACCCTTTTTTATTCTGTGGTGGAAACGGGCTTCCATATAAACTAAAGGATGATGAGAAATGTTGTCTTGACAACTAGCTGAAATAAGATAAGGTTTATATATATATATATATATATATATACTGTATATTGTGACGGGAGGAGCAAACGACAGACACAGTGGGTGCGGCGTCAGACCTTGGAGAGGCTTTTATTTGACAGAAAATTCCAGCGGCCTGGGGCAGCGGCTTCGTCACAGCAGCTCATCTTCCCTGGCCCACGGCGCTTGAGGGGAATAACGGCGTTTCAAGTTTTTTATGGGTTTAGTTTAAAAGTATGTTTACATGACATCATTGTACTAAAAATTGAGGTTTTTCCTTTGCTTTTTTGCTTTTTTTATTTCCACATACAGACAACAACACGGATCTGTGAATAAATGTAAACAAATGTAAACGGATCTGTGAATAAATACGGATCACAGTCCACACTGAAGTGTTTATAAAAACTCAAGCATGCACTCAAATACATGCAACCTTTCATATACAGAACTGAGACAAAATAACACCAACCTTTTGGGTCGTGCCCATACATTTCTTGGGTTTCGGGCATCTTACAACCAGAGGACAGGGAATGATATACCCACCTACCCTCCCCACACACACATAAGCACACAGATTGAACAGATAAAGATGGAGTGGAGGGATTCGGCGGCATGTTGTCATAAACAGTGAGCCTGTGATGGCCATTACCAGCAAGCTGTCAGAGCAAAATATCATCAACTGTTAGAATGTGTGAACGTGTGCACTTCACACCCGAATGCTTTCACGCTCATAAACTCAGATATGCTTATGCCTATACACACACACACACACACACACACACACACACACACAGACATAAACATAGTTTTCCACTGCAGTGGATGCGACAATGATGGATTTCACACTCCTCATTTCATTTATGGTGTCTAATAGTGTGTGTGATTGTGTGTGTTTGGTGGGGGGAGTGTACCATGTATGTGACTGAGCTGGCATGTGACTTTCATAAGAAATAGCCATCTGACCTTAATTCAGTCTGTTTAATCTGTGTTAAATTCCATCACATCATCTCAAATACAGACGAAAAGGAGGGTGAGATATGGGTTTTATAATGGAGTGATGTGGCCTGCTCACATGTATTAACGTCTGGAGGAAGCATAGAAACCATATCGCTAAGTATCAGCCAGAGACGGACAAGGAAGGAGAGAGACAGTGCAGTAGGAATGAAATCAAAGAGAAGCATTAGAGTGATTACCTCTGGGAACATACAGTGGCAGGATATGTTTAAGATGAGCTATATACTGATACTCAG